TGAGTGTAAGAATATCTGTTTGTAGCCAAAGGTCAGGGTTAAATGCTTTTAAAATGATTTATCATCTAGAGCGCTTTGCCGGTTTCACTGATAAATGCTGTTAATTGCAGTCATTCTTTCGCAACCCAGATTTCTACGTGACGCATGCGCCCTTCACGTTCAACACCCAAATTCTCCTTACCACCTGCAAAACGTTTCTTTTCAGTTTAGTTCAAAGAATTTGAAGTTAAATCAAACGATATCTCTCTTTTGATGAAATTAAATCTTCACGTCACCTTTCTGCTTGAAAAGGTATTGTTATTGTTAAGAGAATTTCCGTTTCGGTCATCCTGGCGGGAACGAAAGAATTAATAGCCTTTATTTAATCAGAGAAATAGTGTCAGTGCAAAACGAGTCGCGCCAAAAGAAGAAGGCCGATGAAATTTCAAACATTGCGGCAAATTGTAGCGGTTTAAACAGGCGATTTCTTATAGATAAGAGAGTTTAAACGTTTATAGATTTTAACGAAGAATAGGCTTCATGTCTCTTACCCAGGAAGATCCGAACTCCGAATCCTAGTTCCCCCCCCGAACGACCTATTTTGCGCCAAGGTACGAAATAAAACTAAAACTTTCAAAAGAAATGTTTAGAAGTATACAAAGGAAAAATTGAGGTGTTTTCCAACACAAAGATTATCCAATCACGGATACTATTTCGATTTACTATTTTGTTTTGACCTTTAGCATTATATGCTTTTGAAACACTGTGACTAATTTGTGCGGTTTTCTGTAACTCCTGTGAGACAACTTAGTTCTCTTCGATTTCAATAACTTTTTCCACGAGCGGCTGCCAATGGTGTAAGAGATGGGTATGCTCGCAGGCTCAACAGATCAGAGGGCGGTTAGAGGGCAGCGGTAGACCGCTGGCAGTTGGTTTTTATCGATGCCACTAGGTTCCAACGGCCTAAAAGCATGATGGATACTACGTTCGCATATTCACAGACGTTTGAACTCTGTGTTTATCAACTTTGCTAAATAGAATTGTGACTCCATTTATCCTTATCTGTCGTAAACGCTCTGAAAACCTTCCCGCTAGGAAGTTAGACGAAAACGTGATCCGATGGTGGGGGTTGTTTAATTAACGTACATTTTGAAAATAGAATTGAGGTCAGATATATATTTCTTTGAATTATAGATTAGCTGCAGTGAATACCGTACACAGTATGCATTTGTTGTATAATACATAATTTGTATGTGTCTAAATTTTACGGTGTAACCATTTGCGTAGCATCCTTATAAGGGAATGGTATAAGGGGACCTATTATTGAAGATTGATAGGGGCTGATGGGCTGATTAGAGAGGGAAGTTATCTTAAATAATAAAAAAGGAAAACCAGCTTGAGGTATAAGAGCCGATTTGAAAAAAAATCCACAATTCCTCCATTCGCTTTGACGAAGGGCTAAACTCTTTACGGTAGCCAATTTATGCTATTAACTTAGTTGATATTACAAAATTACCCTGAGATAAAAATCCTTAAACATTACTCTACACGAAGCTTTGTTCTGTTGCGGGTCCATGTTGGGCTTGGGGTTCTCAGAGCGAGCTCTTCAGAATGTATGTATCATTTCAATTTATTGAGCTAATTTTTTTACAGTCGAGCCTGTATTAGGCGGTCACCCACGGTGAATGGCGGGTTGACCGCTAAATACATCACTGACCACTCAATGTACAGAATTTCGCTCGAAAATACTACTTATTTTGATCTTGGGAGAGAAACGTGGATTCGAAATTACTGGAAAGATTATTCTTAGTTTTATTGGAACAGTCCAGCTTTCAGTAACCGTTAAATACAGGTGGAGGACAATAAAAGTAGGACTTTGTAAAGGGTGACCGCGACTGCTTAAGGTGAAAATTATTACTGTGATTAAGAGGAAACGTATTTGGGACTTTGACAAATGACTGCTTAATACGGCGCCACTAAATGCAGGTTCTTTCGACTATTATTTCACCCACAATTTTCGCCGAGAAGATTAACCTCCAAAAGTTATTTAGTGGCTTTAATATAATTTTCTCTCTATTTTGTGACATTTGTGATAACAATGTCGTGAGCTGCCATTCAACTGCGAAACTCCCACCAGGATAACAAACATCGATTTACGTTAAAACAAGGAAAACGTGACATCATTTCTAACCAAGTTGCCCTAATCACAAAGACCTGTTTTCATCACAGCATATCTTCAATGAGTGCAAAGGGACGTAAATTGGAGAGGAAAACTGTTCTGCTCGTATTTTGCCAAGAAAGAATTTAGACCAATGAGGAACTGTGTAAAAAAGTTTTATTGCTGATACTTATGCAATATCTTTCCTTATGGTGGAACAACTGACCAACATTTTTTTTTTATTCACGATTGCAGTTTATGTGGTTCTTTCGGAAGGTGAGTTTAAAAATAGATTGTATCGGCGAAATATTTCACTAAGTTAAAGATTTGTTCGGTACGTTTGGTCCTCTTTTCATAAAGAAAAATTTAAACGATCAATGTTTTGCCGAGTGACCAAAAAATTAAATCCTTTTTATTATTATTGAGAAAATTATACGATTGTGTTGAGTATGGTGTTCGTTCTTACCCCTACGTCTGTTAAAAATACACACGATAAAGTGAGTTAGTAAACACCTCCCTGCCTCTTTGGAGAGCTTCCATCTTCTTCCGTAAATAATGCGGGAATGATTTGT